GTAAGTGAACTCTGTAACTATGATAGATACAAACTCAAAAACTCAACATAAATTTGTGGTGTACAGTATTTTCCCTAAAAAACCACTAACAATAAAAATACAGAATAGTTTGTCATGTAGTCATCTGGGTAGATATCGAAATGAAGCTAGGATAGATTTTTTTATCATCTGAGTGATTCATCAGTTGTGTTAGAAAGATACAAGGACTCAGATTGTGATTTAAGTGTTGCGGAGTTGCGACAGTTGTGGCCAGAGTTGTGTCTTCAGCCAGTAGTTTGACTCTGAGGGAAAAAATAAATCTTGTGTACCCCATTGCAGTGTGAGTGTGGTGGTCCCTTACTGGTCGATATTAGAGCTTACCACGTTCTGGTACTTAAGCCATTTTGGGCCGTGCACATTTTATCACACTTGACGAGACTAAGGGGAGACAAGGCTAGAGACACAGGCTGTGTCCAAATTCAAGGCAAGGCAAGTTTATTTATATAGCACAATTCAACAACAAGGTGATTCAAAGTGCTTTACAGAGACATTAAAAAAACAAAAACCAATAAAAAGCATGATTTAAAATGAAACATCTGGTGGTACAAAAGTTAAATTGTTATAGTGGTTGTATTGTTAAGCAGTGTGTCACGGGAGTGGAACGGACTCAGGCGCAGACGGAGGTGCCACGGTTCAACAACACTTATTTAATCACACTGGTGCGCTATATACACGTGAAGGGGTGGGGGAAAACACCAGGGTCCCGGGGATCAACAGGCTGGGGAGACACACTTCTTCACACTCGCTCTGCTCCTCGTCCAAACAGTCTCCACACAAGCAGCTCACTCTCACTCACGGGGTCCAGGGGTCACAGAAGGGCTGATCCAGGTAACGAGAGTTACACCCCGGCAATAATTCAGTCACTGAAATTATTCATGAAATTAGCTAAGTAATTCCTAAATGCGTGTAGATTAAAGAAAATTGTTTGATTGTCTCTGATGAGCCTAAGGTGCAAAACATGCCGGCGATGATGATAAAGTCTTTCTAGCTCCTTCTGCTTCTAGCTGCATACCCAGCCTTCGAAGGATCCTACCTACATGACGTAGGTAGGATCCTTCGGAGCCTGAATTTGGACACAAAACCAGACATGAGACAAGGGACTGTCAAAGTAAAATGAACACAAGCACAGAGAACACCTAAACACTGGAAGAAAAATAACAAAAAAACACAAAACTCTAATAAATTAATAAACATAAACATGGAGTTACCAGACTCCGGACGCTTTCAATTTGCTGACCATCAGATTTTGTTGCAATGCAAAATTGTGCAATTATTTAAAAAGTTATAACTCTAAATGATGTAAGTGCCAGTGTCCTCTACAGCGGTCTCACCGCCCAGCATAAAAGCTTCCTGTTGTGAGTCAGAACATTGTCAGGAATAGGGAAGGGCGTAAAATTCTCAGTAAACAGTATCAAACTTTCTCAATTTATATCTGTTACTTCCTTATTGGGTTTAGAATTTGTAGTTTCAGGTTTCAAACAACAGTGCAGATAACCATAAGCTGTGACTTGTACTCCAACAATCTCTGTATCAGTGATGCTTGTTAGTCTAATAAAGTTAGCAAATACTTGCTCAGTAAAACGGTTTTGAACATTTAACAGTCTGATAAAGAAAAGACTTTGAGCTAGTTGTATGTTCTATGTAGACCCAGTGCACATTTCCTCAAATCTCTGCATCAGAGGAGGCGAGGCTGAAGTTAACATGTCCCATTGAGCTCCAATAGCGGTAATCTCTCTGGTTTTCTGTTGTAATAAACACTATTGTGTATACATGTCAAGACTATTAAGATGGCTGATAATTCACTCAAAAAAGATAAAAACAGTTCTAATGAGTACTAAAATAAAACATGTTTCATGGATGCCTGGATGTTAAACTTAATTGTTACACCTGGTAGAGCAGCCACACTGATCATTTTATCACAGATGAAAGGATTTAGACAGTTTTTAACTCTCAGTGTTTCCACAGTGATCGCTTGACTTATGGACCTGCAGCGGAGTTTGGGCCCAGACACGGCTAATGACATCAGACTTAAAGACCGGATTAGAACAGGTTCTATAGACACACAGACAACCAAACTCACGTTCACACCAATGGGCAATTTAGATTCACCAATTAACCTAACCCCACTAACTGCTTGTCTTTGGACTATGGGAGAAAGGATGGAAATCCGGACCTTCATACTGTGAGGAAACTGTGCCACCGTCCATATACAACAATGTTTTAAATAATTACATTCAGAAAATAAAGCAAATTTAATCAATTTTCACAGTCATAACATACATATTTGGTTAAACATGATTCTCCTGTGTTGTTTCAAATATGCTTTTAGCCATTTACTGCCACCTCAGCTCAAATTTTCATAACATACTAGGAAACACATGGGCCATGCAAATGAGCCCAAAATATTTAAATTACATACTGATTAAATCTCCAGTGTTCTCTTCTGCTGCATTCTCTACCAGTATACTGGTGTCAGCTTGCTCAGGCTGTGACACCCTACTGCTGAAGAAGAGCGGGTTATCAAAGGTGTTAGGGGCGGGTAACTGATGACCAAATTTCTTGAAGAAGAAGACAGCAGTGACTGCCACCACTGCAATCCCAGTAATGACTAACACAACTGCTGTGGTTATATAGACACGCTGATGATGAGGTAATCCAGTTTCTGTACGGAGTGAAAAAGTTGATGGTAATCAGCTAAAAAAACATTTGTAATAATTTGAAATAAGATATGTAAAATAAATAGTTAAAAGAGGTGTTACTTACTCGATGATGGTGATGGCTTTGGTAGCAATACTACAAAAGGAAAAGAAAGAACAATCAAATAAGACACTTTATCACAAAGCAGCTCTACTTCATTTAAAAATAAAAGTAAATTGCTGTGGAGTAAACAGGTATTTGCATTCGTAGCACGGTAACAAGAGTTATTCCTTTTGGATCCATATGACTGTGTCATGTCTGTTGTGAACATCTTACAAGAGATTCATATCATTACAGAAAAGAAAAAGAGAAAACACTGTTAAAGATTATTTTACCTTTTTGTGTCTTGCAGATGTAAGGTCTTTCAACCCACATGTCAATATCCATCCATGTCCCATCTGATGTACTAATCTCTCCTCTGCGGGGTAATCTGCTGCCATTAACAGGTTGACCTTCAGCCCAGTTAGTGTAACTAATGACTGTTCTATCCAACCAGAGCCATTCCTCTGCAGGCAAATAGACAAAAACATCATTTAAAAAAAAAATATTTATTTTGAACTGAAACTTTGGTTAAAAACAAATTATAAAAAAATATGTTACTATTGTTATTATTATTATTTACCATAAAAATAAATAATGACTCACCTTTGTATTGTTTTTTAAACAGGCCAATCCAGAAAGATGTGTAACTATCATGAAAAGTTCTCAGGTTACTTTCTAGAAATTTTTGCTCAGAGGAATCTTCAATGCTGGCAAGCATTCCACCTTAACAAAACAAATCAGTTGTTAATGAAAACTACAGCAATTTATTGCATACAAATATCTTTCAGATAAGTCACCTACCATGTGCTACACAGCTGGTAGATGCTTCTTGCCAGCGCTTTTGCTCTGTGATAAAAATATAACAATAACCCCTGAATGGTAACCAGATATAGTTCTTGTTTTCTATTGTTGCCTCTGGGTCTAGAGGACAAACTCCTGGAAAAAGAGTTGACTCTGTTGGCAGCACATCTGTGAATGAGACAATGATGTCAATGAGATCAATGAATTACATCTTTTAAAACTTTGAAATGTATTGTTTTGACAACAAACGTGTGTGTGTGTGTGGGGGGGGGAGAGAATTTTTTTTTTTTACGGATATCAGTACGTGATCTGTAATTTACGCTTCTCAACAATGATTCAAGTTTAAATGAAACAGACATGCCAGTCATTACAGGGTTGTAGGGTATCTATAAGCCAGTGGTTGGTCGTACCTGTAGACTTCATGCAAACACTCATTAGTGTCTCGTTACAGTGAGCGGTTTTCCATTTTCCATCCACATCCATGTATACACAACTTCTGTCCTTGCTTGGTTCATTTTTACCCCATCGACTGAATCTTAAATGCCATCCATCAACATATCTGAAAGAACCATTGATCTGAAAGCAAAGATTAATGAGACAGCAGTTACCAATCAAGAAAACTAGCAGAACCATAGGAACCTTCTCATCTGTAATCCAGTTTTGAGATCCCTTCCCACGCGCCTTAACGCCCTCTCACACCTTGGGTCATTTGATCTGAGTAACTCAAATGATAGGGTGGCGCAAGATCTAACAGTGGGTTCACCCGAAACCTTGGCTGATTGTGACCCACACCTGTTTTCACGCCTTGGCTCATGTGATTAGGCAGAGAATCAATAGTGGTCCACGACCTTCTTAGGAACCCTCCCAATAGGGCTTAAAAATCTGTGACTCTCCACCCGTTGCTCTTAGAACGAAAGAAGCTTCTCTGATGAGAGAATAAAAGTCATCAAGTAACTTAAAGAAGTCCAGACGCTTTTCTTTCCAGGCTTCTTAGAACACGGTGACCTGATGACTAAGACACTTTCACATACATGCAGTTACCGATATTATTCTGCTTTTAGGAATATTTCCCTTAGTAAGCATAGCTGCACAGAGGATATAACAGTTGAACGGAGTTGACTCAAACTAACATGATAATCTATGCTGCTTAAAAAACAGGTAGTCCAGCTCCTCCAGGATGGCAAATCAAAATGTACCATTGCCAGAAGGTTTGCTGTGTCTCCCAGCAGAGTCTCAAGAGCATAGAAGAGATTCCAGGAGACAGTTACTCTGAAAGAGGTGGACAGGTCTGTAGAAGGTCCTTAACTCATCAGCAGGATCAGTATCTGCTCCTTTAGCTAAGACAGCCCGAGCTGGGTAAAATGATGGAGTTTTAAGTAACGGTTTAAGAGTTTACATAAGAGGTGCTGCTCCTCAACGTGCCTTCCTCACACAGAGCATCTCCCTGCTGGATTAGGGAGGCTGCACTGATCATGCCCTGGGTAAGGTAGGCACTTTAGTAAAACAGTGAAACTTTCCACAATGCTTATTTAATGACTGCTGCATTTAAAGGTGTTTATTTTTAATGCAGCATAATGTGCAACTGCTTCTTTATATCACATTTATTGGCATCTTTGTAGTCAAGTTAGCAAGTGCTTTATAACAGTCAGTTATGTCAGCCATGATTGAGAGTACAGAATGTAAATACACAGCAACTTCAAATGTGTTTACGTGGTGCTGGCAGACGTATTATGAAAAGCAATAGCTACATTTAACTGAAATGGATGGATGATTAATCTCAGTTCACAAACAACCGAATGATTGGATAAATAACTAGGCCAGTATATTTATCCATCAATGAAGATTTCATTTTCATAATTACAGATTATTTTGTTAGATAAAATCTTTGTTGAAATAATTTTTTGTGCCCATAAGTAGATTTTTGATTGAATTTGCAGTCAGAAGTTTCAAAGTGGTTGACCCTATTATGGAGTTATGAACTTTTTATATGTCTTCAAAAGTTTACCTGCGCTTTGTGTAATCCAAACCAAAGAGGAGCCTTGAGATTCAGTGCCATGAGCTCAACATAAGCTTGCGTCCACTCATTCCTCAGGCTAGCTAGGAGGGCATCGTCATTTTTACAGTACTCTGCAGCTTTATCCCAATTCATTTGTTGAGGAACAACCTTAATGGAGTCATTGAGTATTTTGATGTAGTTAGTAGAAATTGTTGGTTCTGGAGAATCTGGTTGAGATGTGTCTGTTTAGGATGAGAATAGAAACTATTTTATTTTTTTTTACATAATAAAACCCTCTGAATCATTCTTAAAAAGTTAGGTATATCCAGTGATGAATCATATCCTTGATCATAGATATTATTGTTATTATATATTATATAGAGATAGAGATATTAATTATAGGAATGAAAAGTCAAAGCAAATTCTTTGTTGTTTTAGAAAAGCTAGAGAGTGTCTGATGGAGCTGCAGCTCAAGTTGGGTGGCAACAGGCCTGAGGGTAGAAATGGACTCACCAAGATTTCGATGACAGATAAATCCATTGGTGTCATTGCATGACTTTTCAATCCATTTCCCAATACCAAGCAAAGGCTTGGTATTGATCACAAAACAGTTTTTCTGTGGAAACAGAGTTGAGTCAACAGAGAATAATGAGATGTGATGATACAGGGAATTGTGTCAGGGAACACAGGGCATTCTTGGATCTTTAAAATCTACTTACCTTTTGTTCATAATACCAATACCAACGCTGTAATGTAAACACAAAGATTTTAATTATTTGTAAATAAAAAAATATACAGTTATAGATTTATCAGTTTGTCTGACTCTCCACAATAGGTAATATAGACTGTATCTACATGGTGCAAGTTCACTGCTCAAAAAATTAATGGAACACTTTTTAACCAAAGTATAGCATCGAGTCAGCTAAAGTTCTGGGATAGCAGAGCAGGTTGTTAATCAGTGTCAGCAACTTTGGGGTTAATGAAATTATCAACAGGTGCACTAGAGGGGCAAAAGTGAGCCAGCATCCAAAACAGGAATGGTTTTACAGGTGGAGGACACTGACATTTTTCCCCTTCTCCTCTTTTCCGAGTGTTTCTTCACTAGTTTGGCCTTCGGCTAGAGTTAGTGTCACTGCTGGTAGCATGAGGCCATACCCTACAGATGTTGCACAGGTAATCCAACTCCTCCAGGATGGCACATCAATATGTACCATTGCCAGAAGGTTTGCTGTGTCTCCCAGCACAGTCTCAAGAGAAAAGAAGAGATTCCAGGAGACCGGAAGTTACTCTGGAAGAGCTGGACAGGCCTGTAGAAGGTCCTTAACTCATCAGCAGGACCAGTATCTGCTCCTTTGTTGAAGGAGGAACAGGATGAGCACTGTCAGAGCCCAGCAAGTCATCTCCAGCAGGGCAATGGTGTAAATGTCTCTGACTAAACAATCAGAAGCAGAATTCGTAAGAGTAGCCTGAGATCACTACATCATGTAGGGTGGCCTGTGCTCACTGTCCAACTTCATTGAATTTGATTGGTATTTGCCATAGAATACCATAATGTTAAATCGTTCAGCATGGTTTGGTTGTGGCCCAGTGATAGTCTGGAGAGGCATATCCATGGCAGGATGCAAAGACTTTTACAGGTTTGGCAATGGCACCAGTGTTGCCAACTTGGCGACTTTGGCGATATATTTAGCGAGTTTTCAGATCCTCTTTTCTAAAAAGCGACTAGTGACAGAAGTCTGGCGACTTTTGCTGGTGTTTTTAGGAAGACTTATGACCACTTTGTGACGTGAAATCACATATCGCTCTTACTCTCAACAAGCAGCGGGTGCTGCCATGGGCACCTCGCCCGTGCCAAAGCGCTCACAGGCAGCAGATCATCCTCATACAGCAGTGTCCCCCAGCTGGTGTCAGAGCAGATGTTAACCCCTACGCGTCCAAACTGCAATGAATCACGCATGAGCGAAGCCACTGCTCCAGCCCTGACTGTAACGCAGTCAGTTCTTCTTTTACTTTTACTTTTTGTGGATCACAAGGTTTAAAACTACTTAAAAACACACACACACACACACAAAATAACTCCACCAGAGTGCGTATTTCAGGTCACTTTTGCCAGTTCCAAGCCCAGATAAAGCAGGTGGGCTGGAATTGTGACCAAAAAAAGCAATAATTGCTAAAAGAATTGAATTTGTAGTTCTAAATATATTCTAAATGCATTTAGGGTGTTTTTTACTCACTTAATGTTCTGATGTCCCAAATCTGGTGGGAGACACCCGAAACACTATCAGTCGTGTCATTAGAAACATGCCCCAATGTCATCAAGTATGTATACAAACATGCGGGGGCCATACAAGCTACTGAGTCATCTCTGTGCTTGTCCTCCTAGATCTTAGTGTGATACTGGTTGATACTTGGCCATAATAGCTTATTAAGTGATTAGAGCATGCTGTAGCAATTAAATGTACTGCATTGCAGTGGTTTGAATCAAATCTATCTGATAGACTCCAGTTTGTTCATGTAAATTGAGTCCTCTTTACACACTTAAGGTTAATTATGGTGTTCCACAGGGTTCCATGCTAGAACTGATTCTGTTACATTTCTCACTTAGGCAAGTGTAATCTATCCATGAAGCCAGATCACACACCAATTAGTTAAACTATCTTGCTGTATGCCTTAAAGACACAAAGATCTGGATGATCCCTAATTTTCTGCTTCTAAATTTTGATAAAACTGAGATTATTGTGTTCTGCCCTAAAAATATTAGAAATATGGTATCTAACCACATGCTTACTCTGGATAGCATTACCTTGGCCTCCAGAGACACTGTGATGAATCCTAAGAGTTGTTTTGACCAGGATATTAAACAGATATGTAAGACTGCTTTCTTGTATTTGCGCAATATCTCTAAAAGTAGAAATATTCTGTCTCAGAATGACGCTGAAAAACTAGTTCATGTATTTAATACTCCTAGGCTTGACTACTGTAGTTTTTTTTATTGTCAGGATGTCCTAAAAACTCCCTGAAAAACATTCAGTTGGTCCAAAATGCTGAAGCATGAATACTGACAGGGACTACAAAGAGAAAGCATATTTCTTTTATATTTGCTTCTCTTCACTGGCTCCCTTCTAAATCCAGATTTGAATTTAAAATCTTTCTCATCACATACAAAGTCTTAAATAATGAGCCCCCATCTTAGGTTAATGACCGATAGTACTGTATCACCACATTTGAATTCAGCCACTTCTAGGTTGACCATTTTCATTTTTGTCAAGCCAGGTGGCATCTGTTCGTTCCTGACACATTACCCAGTCTATATAGCTACAGATTTTCAGCATGATTTTTTTTTACTCACTGAGAACAGATTATTATTTTACCACTTACATCATTACCCAAATTGATGTATGACTTTGTTTGTCCATCAGTCCAGTAAGTTCTCCACTGTGACTGAAATAAACCAATCCACAAGTCTGTAGTAGGTGCATCAGCCATTTGAGACAGTAGAAACACTGAAAATGTAGACAAAGATTTATGGTTAAGATATTTTCTTGCAAATAAAAGTGCACCGTGGTATCAGCTCTAACTTGTGGGTATGCCAAAACTGCACAACAAAAGAAATTCAGTGGTAACTATAGGTATTGGGAATAGATGAATCTTTGAAGGATGGCAAAATATAGCTTGTTTAAAACAGAGTTGTTGGCTTTGTGAGCTGTTGCTGTAGTATCATAAATGGATTCCAAAAGAGGAGAAGGTAACAAAATTGAAATACTTATTTGAGTGAAAAGAAAATGAAACAAACCTTCCACATCTCTTGAAGTAATAGACACCAAGTTTCCACCCTTTTGTTTGCATTTTTCCCTTGCATCATGCCATGTTAAATTCTGATTGTCAATGATGCTGTAACACTAAAATTGAAAGATGAAAAAGATCAATATAGTGTTCCAAGCACTAAGAACATATTGCGTCAACAGTAAATAATAGAAAGATTAAAAGACATGAAAAGACATCTGACCTTAGAGTTAAATTTTTTCCAGGGGTGTGGACATCCACCTTTTGGGGGCACTGTAGGCACTGCGGCGGTGGTGTTTGCAGGTGTTGAGCTGCTGCGCTTACAAATGGACGCATACTCAAGCCCACAGCTGGAGTCATGCCAGAATCCTGCAGGCCAGGTCAGCATATTAAATTAATAACATTATCAACATGAATGAAACATTTAAAAAATCTTCAATCAATTTTGATATCACACACTCATTTTATCTTTTGTAGCATGTCGTCTTGAGTAGTTTCTTTTTCTACATACTTTTTACTTTTACTCCCTACATTCTTAAACAAATATCTGTATTCTACTTCTTACATTTTCAAAACAGACTCGTTACTATTGCTTTAACGCATTAGGGTCAAGTTATTATTTCGTCCCTGCGAGCCTCAAAACATCAAACCGATTTGAAGCAGAAGTCAATCCTGTCCATGTGTTTATCACCAGAGGATGACTCAGAAAAAGAGATGACGTGTGCCAAAGTCAGGGGATAAAAGCAGGATGGTGTTTTTCTTTTTTTTTTGTCATAACACCGCAAAAACTGCAGGTGTCCGTATGTTGCGGTTTAGGTACTTTAGCATCTAGCTAGTGCTACAAAAGAGGAATGAGCATAATGGGAGTGACTTTTTTTTTAAGTGGCAGGTAATTTCAAATTTCAAATGTTTCTATCAGCTCAGCAAACATCAGCAAACACACAAACTGTTTGTGTGCAGTTTTTTACACAGTGTGTTGCAAGCTAAAGGTCCAGCTGCTGTGATGGATTTAAAGTAAAACAGTGTGTGACTATGACTACATTTCACTTTTTTTTTTTTACTTTTACTTGAGTACAAAGTTGAATGGTTACTTCAACTCAACTTATATTTTCTAATAGTAGTATTTCTACTTCTGCTTCAGTAAAGGATGTCTGTACTTGTTGTTGTTGTTTGATATGTGTGTATGGGCTGTAAATGATACGTATTACTGTGATAAAACTAGGGTGCCATTAAAACTGAAGGGATAGTTGTGACAGGATGGCCTGAGTGCTATCTCTGGGTGATACCACTTGTTCTGTGTATGTATTTCAGTGAAACTGAATCATATTTCGGTACACTCACCATTGTGAGATGTCATGAAAACACAGTTCTCATCAAAGTTCTTGAAGTCAGGTTGATTTTCCTGCCAACTTTGAAACAACAACTGAGAACCATCCATCCACCTTAATGTAACACAGAAAAAAAATTTGTTTAAATATATCTGTAAAAGATTTGTGACAATAATACCAAGACAGTAGCATACTGGGTTCATTAAAGATACTCTTATCCTTCTTCTTTTTGGTCACACTTTTGTTGTTTTTAGCTGTAATAACTGAATAAAGTTGGTGGGAAAGATTACAAACAGGAAACTCCAAAATTTTACAAATACGGACAAAGCTTCGCAAATAGAAATGCAAATAGATCTGCATGTGCAGTTAGAGCTTAAAGTATTTGGACAATACGACGCATTTAATTTCCCCCTTTGTATATCAGAACAGTAGATTATAAATTAAACACTCAAGATATGACAGACTGAAATTAAAACTGGTATACTTATCTGACATGCTGCCTTGCACTAAGTACTCTCCATTTTTAACTTGCTGTTACATAAATTTAAGTTAATTGTAAATTGCATTTACATTTTTGTCACTAAATTCATACTCACTGAAATGTTCCATCAAGATCTACAGATAGGCCAATCCAAGAATTCCGATAACCTGTTGAAATCTGCACAAAAACATGGATACATAGAAAAAACTTTCGGTGTTTTGGATGTTTTAGTTTTTGCAATTCTAACTTAAATACCCGTTGCCTTGGTAAATCTTTTACAAATGCCATTGCTCACCTGTTTCCATAAAAATATCCTTTCTGCTTCACTGTTGATAGATACCAGGTCACCATGCCTCTGTCTGCAGAACAAACGAGCGTCCTCCATGGCCATCGACTTTTTGTTAAAGTAATACTGAGCCCCATTCCACTCTAGCCACCCATCAGAGGTCGTGTTATATTCTGAGAATAGATAAGAAATGCGCAATCTATTTCAGTAAATGTGCAAATAATATGACCCTCTTTTTCAAAGATTTCAAAGAAAATGTTATAAAAACATGTTTGGAAACTACTGTAAATGTGTTAGATAAGCAAGTCTTAAAAAAATAACTTTTTTCATGACAAGCTCATGTTTTTCCAGTTGTTGACAGTGAGGCTTTAAAATTATGAACAACAACTGCATGTTTTCCATCTTTTCCTCAAACTACACAATCCAATCTTCCTTTCTTCACTGTGAGTTTTATGCTCATACTGTATGAATGAGATCTGGTTGTGGCAGATGGCCCCGCCTCCCTGAGCCTGGTGCTGCCGGAGGTTTCCACTGTCACCAAAGTGCTTGCTCATGGGGCCTCATATGATTGCTGGGTTTTTCTCTGTATGTATTATTGTAGGGTCAACCTTACAATATAAAGCACCGTGAGGCAACTGTTGTTGTGATTTGGTGCTGTATAAATAAAATTGAATTGATAAACAAATAAACAGTTCAACTATGAAAAAACAGTTCAATCTAATTCAACTGATCTTGCAACCATCAGATACAGAGAAAAATAAAGGATGGTCAGCCATTAAATCCTTTCAATGGGCTTCACACACTCATAGAACTGATTTTCTATTTACTATTACTATTCTCACAGGTTTTTATTTTGTTTTGTTTTTTGAAACCATAATTCCATTATCTTTTGAGATTTCAGAAGACCAAGTCTAGGTTCTGTGTCCTATTTTGGATTTGTTGTTGGATTATGAATGGTAAACGGCCTGTATTTGTATAGCACTTTACATAAAAAACACATTTCATATGAGTTCATAAACATTCATACATTCATGTATTCATTGTACATGTGTCCTAGCAGACACAGCTATGGTATCAATTTCAAAATTCTACATAAGTGTTTTCTCAAGTTATCGCATTCACAAACACGACACCCATCCATCCCATCTGCCTGCCCAGTGGGGGTCACAGCAGTACCCCATCAGCCTTTAACAGCTTAGTGGTAAAAACAAAACAAAACACAATAATATTATTCAGCCTATTATTATTATACTTATTATATTATAGTAGTTTCAAATATTTTCCACGCAGAAAATCAGCATCCATGAGACATCAGTTTCCCTGTCAGCATAGTATGAATAATGGTCTCAGCCTGGTAATCCCAATAGAAAGTCAACAGTCATGTAAAGATGCTGTCTGGCAGTGTGGTCAAATTCCTCAACGCACTG